ACAAGTTCAAGATGAAGCTTGACTGACATGCACAGCTAACATGGAAGTACTGTAATCTAACTGAAGTCGTTGTACAGGCAACACACCAGTTTCTGCAGCCACTGTTGTTAGTCCCTTGGTTCATATTGACTTAAGCACACTTGACATCAATTGCATCAAGATGTGACATGTTTTATAAGAAAAAAAATTATAAAATGAAAAAAATATTTTTAGGTATTTTCACAAACAAAAACTGGCTTTTAAATAAATTTGCTTCCATAATGGTTGGATATGACAAAAGAAAAAAAAATAAGAAAAAAAAAAAATCTAGACTATGGGGAAGTGGAATATGAAAATAAGGCTTAAGGCATCAGTTCCGTATTTTTCAAAGCCAAATATGTAATGTTGAGAAGAGAAGAAATAATGATTGAAAGGTTCAAATCTTGTAATTTAATATTGTTATTAAAACTTTGCTGTATATCCTATTCTTTAACATTTGGTGTTAATATAAAATTTACTTGGCAATGCTTGACATTTGAAATAAACTTTTTTCTATGGTTTTATTTGCAAGTGTTCCATTAATTTTACTAGCTACAGTTGGGTTATAAAAAGTCTGAAATCTAAAAGGACACTGTCAAGGTTGGGTCAATGTTTCAGTTTTTGGCAGTGTCGCCACTTCCAACTCACTCAAACCTGTTCAATAGTATTTTCTGCAGATGAGCCCAAGCTGTGACGTTCAGATATGCTTGTTGAACTCTGAAGATCAAGGTTGTTCTGGGTTGGAGCGGTGCTTGATACTGGCACATGAGGATGGGTGCTGTTTTAGAGCTCCTCTTAACTCTGACATGGAGAGACTTACTGATCCAAAGATTTGGTTGAAACCTATCTCTACTTTTGTACAGTTGAGTTCGTAAGTACGTGTACAGAGAGAGAAGAGTATTGATAAAAGCTGATAAATGGCAAGCAGTAAAACAGTGTGAAGTATTTTTTTTAGAGAATGAAAAGCGAGTTTTCAAATTGTTTCTTTAAGGAAGCCGTTTTCAAACTGTTAAAAGGTAATTCTAAGCAGTTGCTAGTGAAGCTTTTATGAAAAGAAAAACCCAAAACCTTGGCAATGTCTTTTTGAATTAAGATTGATAACTTGAATTAAATGCAAGTCTGTACTGATGAAAACTTTCCTGAATCTTAATGATTATGAGTATTCTTTGCTAGCTGAAGTTACCATAATTTTTAATTGTGTGTATTTAAAAACAATAACTACTTAAAAAGCAAAAAGGAATCCTAGGAGGGGTGCAATAATATTAATTTAAATGCTAATGCAAATCAAAGTAACATCGTGTTTCTCTAGCTTTCCCTGTAGATACAATTCTGTACATTTGGTTGAAAAGCTTACGTTTTTCTGCATTGTGGATACATTGCCTCATGCAGTATTGGTAAATCTCTTTTATTTTGGAATTAAATAAAAATTTAAATATGACTTGCAGTTTTAGTTGGAATCCATTTCTTAGACTCAAGTATAATGTTTTCTGAGCATTGGAGAAGGCAGAGCATTTATCAGAAACTTGAAGTCCCTTCTTCTCTGAGCCTGTTTCTGCAAGAATGTGAACACAGTGTATACTCTCAGTGTGATCAGCAAAAGAGGTGTATACAGTGTTTTCAATGTCTGTCTTACCAATACTTTCCTCCAATAAAACAAAATCATTTCTTGTCACATCTGTAATTCATAAGTGTTCTGTGCATTACTCCACATCAGGAATGTTGAGGAATGCATTCGGATTTTTAATGTTCAATGCTAGAATGACCAAACTAAAATAATATTCATATGGTAATTAATTTCTTTTAAAAAAAAAGTAGAAATGCATTACTGTATCCAGTGGAAAGCTATTTATTGTACCTCTGGGCTCATTCCTCTAAAAATCATAGTGTAAAAAAAAGTCTTTGTCAAGCCTGAACTGATGTATATAACTGAAATAATGTAAAGTTATATTTTCATGTTTTTATACTTAACAACATGATGGGAATACATAATGTATGAGTATTTCAAGTCAGATAATATTGATTGGATAATACACATCTCAGTTAAAAAAAGCAGTAATAGTAGTTTAATATCCATGTTAAGAATACATCAGTATATTGCTATATAAAGTATGTCTGTGTGCATTTAAGTGAAAAGTAGTCAAGAGTGATGAAAGCTGTCCAAGGGTTTTTTATTCCTTTTTTTATGAAAACTGTTATGGAGCAACCAAAATGTTTATGAACTCAAACTTGTGTAAGTTTCGAACTGTCCTTTTACTGTAGCTTTTTGTTTACAGTACAGTATCTTATTTTCTGCTTTGTTAAATGAGTAACAGTACAAAGCTGGACATACACTTTCTAAGACATTAACGTTCTCGTTTTTTCATGTATACTTATATGACAGAAAATGCTTCTGATTTTATTTTTCAATCTAACACATGGCTTTTCTGGAGTGTTGTATAAACTTCAATCATACATAAAAAATCTTCTTAAAAAAGGTAAAAGATCTTTAATGTCTGCTTAGTATTATTGAAATCTGGTTTCTTATTTATTTTAAATGTATTTTTCTAAGATTTTACATAGGGCAAACCTGTTTGTCCCCCAGACATGAAATTTCCTTGAAGAGTTTATGGAGTTTCTTCTTTTCTTGAATTAAGTTTCAATGAAGAGTGTAAATCTCCCAGATCATCTTGTCACTCAAGGACAGATTTACTGCAGTTTTCATTTTTGTTAAATGAAGTAATGAAACTTTTTTCCAACAATATAATTGTATCTCTGGACTGTAACATTCCTGATAATAGTTACAATGGCAGTGTGATAGGTTCAAAAAGCTAGGGGGTTAAGTATCTATTCAGTAACACTACCTAAAAAATTTTGTGTTGAAACCAGTACATTTTTAATTGAACAGATTGTTGATGTGTCCAAAGCAGAGAAAAACCTGAGAAATGGCAAGTACTTCAGGTGTCACTGGAAGAGATGTAGTACAGCAGAGTTTACTGTAATGGCAAACAGAGTGAAGAGATTCAGCATGTGAAAAGTTCAACATTTTCATGTAAACATGTATTTCACCTGTTAACAGAGTGTGTTTCTGCAGTGTCAGCCTCTTCTTTGGCTGATTGATATAGACAATATCTTTACATGATAAATAATTGTATTTTGGAATTCAAATAGACAGGTTTATCTATCCTTTGGTGCAGTTAGTTGTAAGAATACAGCAATCACCAGCAAAATAGAATCTGCATCATCTGTTGCACATGATATTCCTGGAGCCTACTCAGATCTGTTTTCACAGCATCAAAGCTTATTATTTATTAAATATTTTCATTTAAGCTGTCAAGGGATCACAAAAAATTGCTGTGAGAGATACATCAGGTCTAAATTATATTTGAAATTTATATTAAGCACTTAGAATGAAATTAAGTGACATAGCTGTGGACTTAATTTGGAACATTTTGCCTTGCATCAGTTTCTGTAGGTAGTAGAGAATACAATACACCTGTGTGAGACACAATAGAGAATTGAATAAAATATTTTTTTTTTGTAAACAAGTGGCAAAAAATGGAAAAAAAGTAAGATGAAATACAAAAAATCTAAGACTTCTAGCTTTCATGTGTCATGAGGCCAGTCCCCATTCTTATTGTTGGGGCATGTTACATGACATGTTTGTTTTCTTTCTTTATTTCTTCCTTTCTTACTTTCTTTCTTCCTCCTTTCCTTTCCTTTCCTTTCCTTTCCTTTCCTTTCCTTTCCTTTCCTTTCCTTTCCTTTCCTTTCCTTTCCTTTCCTTTCCTTTCCTTTCCTTTCCTTTCCTTTCCTTTCCTTTCCTTCCCTTCCCTTCCCTTCCCTTCCCTTCCCTTCCCTTCCCTTCCCTTCCCTTCCCTTCCCTTCCCTTCCCTTCCCTTCCCTTCCCTTCCCTTCCCTTCCCTTCCCTTCCCTTCCCTTCCCTTCCCTTCCCTTCCCTTCCCTTCCCTTCCCTTCCCTTCCCTTCCCTTCCCTTCCCTTCCCTTCCCTTCCCTTCCCTTCCCTTCCCTTCCCTTCCCTTCCCTTCCCTTCCCTCCTTTCTTTCTTTCTTCCTTTCCTTTCTTCTCTTTCTTTCCTTTCATCCCTTTCTTTCCTATCTTTTCTTTCTTTCTTCTATTTCTTTCTTCTCTCTCCTTCTCTCTACTCTTGCCTGACTACATGCAGTTAGTCTAGTGCATACTTTCTTAGCTTGGTAGGCTGATAGAAAATGTAATTCCTGTATATAATACTTGCTGTAATTATTTTGGTAGTCATTAAAAATATTTACTATAGGTCATGGCATAAGTCTCTGTATTACAGCAGCAGTGATGCTAAAGATAGGAAAGCTTATCTAAGCTAAACCCTTTATCCAAGTGGCATCCACAGAACTTGTTCTTCTGTCAGTCTTCTTTATACATCTCTTGCTGCTAATAAAAATTTAGCTACCTCTGTAAACAGGTCAGTGCTTTACTTACCTCAGTGATGAGAAAATTCTTTATACATAGAAGAAGAGCACTTAATTTCATGAAGATGTCCAGTGAATGACTTTGTAGCATTTGCCCAAAGTTCTTCCTCCCTTTACACTTGCAACTCCCACTCAACAAGAAAGGACCATTACTACATGCTGGGCATAGAAAAAAAGTTTATATGTAATTTGTCATCATTTTTAACAAATGCTAACTTTTTAAGGCTGACTCATCTGTGTTAAATAAAGCATTTAATCCTACTAGTCTTCCAACTGCAGAATGAGATTTTAAATACATGTTTAAGTTGTGGTTTTTTTATTTGCTTTAAATATCCCAAACCTGATTTTTAAAATGTTTCTAATTATAGAGTAGGAAAGGGCTGCGAAACTAGTGCCTAGACCAGCCCATTGGAATTTTCTTCAACTAGTTCCTATCTGGAAGTGTTGGAAGCACATATAAAGGGGTTCCAGTGGATCCCATGAGCTGTGCAGGACCATGCTGATTCCTTTGCCTCTTTCCATGTGCAGGTGGAAAATGCTGAAATAGGACTTGGAGAGGTAGTTTTTTGACATTTTTCTGTCCCCCCTCAGTCCCTTAATGTGAAGGTCTCTCCAAAAGAGACACTGGAGAGGATTTATACCTGTTTTCTAAGGATAGAAATATATTTTTTTTCCTAAAAACTTACTGTTTGTGCAGTTTTGAAAAGATAATGTCATGTTTCAGTTTATGGTAAGCATCTTAAAACTGGGAAATGAAATCTCCTTCACAGCCTTTACTGTTAGTAATCATAGAATCATAGAATACTGTGGTTTGGAAGAACCTGAAAGATCACCTTAAAATTCCAACTCCCCCTACTGAGGGCAGGGACACCTTCCCCTAGGTCAGATTTATGCTTCTTAGAAGGAGACAGCCCAGGGTATTTCTGGCATGTTGGTGCTTTACTGAAGCATCAAGAGCATCTTGTTAAAAATGTACTGGAGTAGAGTCTATTATATAAATTTTAACCCAATTTTCAAGTTATGTTGTTACTGCCTACCCTTCAGCACAATATTCTGTGAGTTTAGAGAAAAATGTAATTAGAGAGGTCAAGATATAGTTCTTTCAATTAATAGTGTCCTTTACAAATAACATAGTATTTCTCAGTAGTTTGTTTCCTTATGAGTTTCACTATGAAAGGCAAACACATTTTAGGTTACCTCATACTCATAAATAGCAGAATATCCACTGAAATATTTTTTTTCTGTTTTTTAGTGAGAAGATTTTTTTTTATATTGTCACAATGACTAAAGACACAATAATACAGAAAACGTGATTTCTTCTTAGGTGTTTGCCTTTGTGTTTCTTGCTGTTGTTTTTAATAATTTCACAAGATTGCTAGATGAATATTTTCACAAATTTGCAACTAAGTGTTTTGGCAACTTATCCAAGTTACCTGTAGGTGGAATTCTTAATTCAGCTTCAGCTACTTTGTGTGAATAGATGGGCAGAGATGCTAATATATGAAAATGAAGATGGTGGGTGTTCCAGTGTATATGTATGTATACATATCCCTACACAATGCAATAGTAAAACTAGTGCTGATTTTGATAAGGCCATAGTCAAGAGCAATGATAACCACAGCAATAATTCATATTAGGGCCAGTAGCAACAGGAAGGTTCATAAGCAAGTGCCTTACCACCTCCTGTTTGAATTAAGTATGGAATTTTGCATTTCCATAGAACAATATGAGTCCCCATGGGACTCAGTTAACAGTGAATCCTATAACTGCAAAATCTGGGGTGACTCCTTTAATGTAATGATGTAATAATGTAAATCCATCTCACTGGTGGGATTAATTTCTATGGAACTCCTGCAAGATAAACAGGCTCTTCCACAATTCCTTTGGCCTACACAGAAAGGCTGTTGCATTTGTCATTGCCTCTCACTTCAGCAGGAAGCTTGATGGGTTTGTGTATACGCATGTATATGCTTAGTTTCTCAAATTGCAGACTTTGCTATTTAAAAATCCAAATGGTTGATCCGAGAGGCTCAGGTTTAGTTAAATCTAACATTACACGGACAAACAACAGTGCTCTTTGCACCTATTACTTGACTTTCTAAAGCAAAACCTCTATAAGACCTAATGCCTCAAAAACAAAATGCTGGACATTGATAGGGCTGGATACTACGCTACCTACTTTGAACACTGTGCAATAAAATGTACTACTATGGTGCTGTGGCAGAATTTTGTCCACCTTTTATATTGTTTTGTTGGGTTTTTTTTTTCTTTTAACTTGCATAGACAAATGAGTAGTATAAGCTGTAGGAAATAATTCTCGTGGTGTAGGCTTGACAGACAATTTATAGGCAATTTCTATTGATTGGTTTTATCTGTGGCATTACCACATTTTTCAAATCTGCACCTTCAGAATATATATTAGAAAAACGTGATAAACTGTTTTTATAAAGCCATTATTCTCAGTGAAAGCAGGATTCTGCCTGAAATGTTTTCCTTATCCTGATGGGTATACTTGCCTAATATACTTGTTTACTTCAGGAGACTTAAAAATACATGTTTTTTTAAATCATTATAGATCCAAAATTATACTGGAACATGTTAATCACTTATGCTGAGTCCGCCTTCTAAGCTGCTTTTTATAGGAGATCTTTGTCCTTTTATACTTGTAATTTACTTTTTGATCTTTTGTCATTGGAGAGATTTTAGCATATTGAGGAAAAAAAGTAACACTGCATACCCTGCTTGCTGACGTAAGATGCTGCCCAAGTCCTTCAAAGTGATTCAGCTGATAAGTATGTCCCGTGACTCACACCTCCTAAAGAACCTTTCTCAAACAGCAGAGACAGCATCTGCTCTGAGGGGACCAAAGTAATTTAATATGCTTTGGTCAGACCCTGCCTTGCTGGAGTGCAGGGAATCTGAGGTGTCACGGCCAAGCCTGAACCTCCCACCTGTCTCTGTGCACTCACACAGTGATGTCCCCAGGCATCACCACACTTGGCACTCATGCTAGCAACACAGAATTGTTAGCATGGTCATGA